ATATTTGTTGAATGGATGCTGAAATGCCACCACAAAGGGAAAGAATTTGTAGGGAAAGTGGGCTCAATTGTGTGATTTACCAGGAAAAAGAAGCAGTATTTTCTACATTATGGCCTCTGTGGAACTTGGTTTTATTTGTCTCATTCTTCATGTCTGATGCTTCAGGATACTGCATACTGGGGAGAAGACAGGGATAAATCTCTCCAGAGGAACATAGCAAGCGTAAGTAGGCTTTCTGGATAGATGTTGAAGGCAGCTGAGACCTGGGCCCTTTTGATCAAAGTGTCCTGCTTCCCCACTGTATTGTTGGAGGTTCTGAAAAAGGATTCTTGAAAAAACAATGAAACTCTCAGGCCTTTCAACATGATTTCTTTTCAACAATGACCCCTTGAGTAAATCCCTGAAACTTCCTGGGCCTCTGTTTCCTTTCATCAACAATAATAGAGTTGAACCAGAAGAGAGATTCTTCTAGGGCTCTAAAATGCTATATTGCTATGTTAGTATTCCATTTGAAAGAAAATGTGGAAAAATAAATTAAGCAGTTCTAAGAGTTAAATATAAATAAATGCTCTATTTTAAAACCGATCTTTATGGTTACTAAGGATTTTGGAAAACTTAAATTCTTTTGCCTCTCTTTAGTTTTTATTTCTGTTATTATCACTAACTTATAATCTCAGTTTAGGACCTTAATTCTGTGATAAATATGATATATTTCACACATATAACTAAATTCTAATGTGATAGCATCATAGGGGTGATTACAGTCAATTGATTGTTTGATTTCTCTTTGTTAATGTGACCATGTTGTCTGGCCACCTACCAACCTTTGAATATTTTTCTATTTTTGGTGTAATTCCCTTTTCTAGGAGTCCTGTCCTCCTAAAGTAAAAGCTCCAAAACTCACTTTCCTGACAGATAGAATGTAGCAGGCATGTGATTTAGGCCCTATTAATCAGAAACATGAACTTGAGAATCTGACTGAGAAGCAAGCAGTGTGATGAAGTATGAATCCCTTTCCTGGCATACGTTGGGGCCCAGGCATGGGTGAGGGTTCTCTTATCTACTGTTAATAGTAAGTTCACCCATGAACTGCATCAAGGGTTGTTCATTGACATCAGCCTGACTCTGGCACTCACTCCTGGGTGTTCTGTGAACTTCCAAATTATTTTTACTAAATCATTGTCCTGTTTAAACTTCATTCTATTGATGGCAAACAAGAACATTAACTGATAGAGTTTATTTCCCAAGTAATCAAAGTATTTACTTCCCAAGGCTGAAAAATAATCTTTGAGTGTTCTGTTCTTAAACTCAGCTTTTTTTAGTTTATGAAATGATATGACTGATACTTTAGCAACAATTATTTCTTCATTCAACAAATCTTGTGCTCAGAGTTGAAAGGATATGATGATTTGTAAGACACAAGCCCTGTCTCTGAAAGCTCAGCTCTGTTTTAAAGCTGAACATCTATTCTTGGATGACTTTATAATTATAATAGTGTTTAACATTAATGAGTACATACAGTGCTCCAGGCATGTGTGTTAACTCATTGAACCTTCCCAACAATTGGAAGAGTAAGTACAGCTGTTATTCATACAGATGAGAAAAGCAAAGAGCTTCACTTGCTCAAGGCCATATAATTAGTAAGCAGCAAAGCTGAGATTTCAAAGTATGGCCCCAGACCCACATTCTTAACACCCCTCTGTGGCAGTATGCTCATTTGAATTAAGCATTTGAATTAAGATGACACCATTTATAGTCTTCATCTTTGAAACTGCTTCCTTCTTAATATAAAATGTGTGTGAGAGGCAACCAATCGATGTTTCTCTCCCTTTCTTTCTCCCTCCCCCTCTCTCTAAAAATAAATAAATAGCATTTTTTAAGAAAAGAGAATGTATAGGTATATCTGTTCTTTATAGCAACTTGTGAGGCTTCTTCAGCATGGAAAGAAGCCCAGCTTCCATGAGTGGTGGGAACTAATATTTTTTAATTTCCTGACTGGGAAAGTATGATTAATCAATTTTGCTGTTACTGAAAGTATTTTGGAATAGTGTGTCCCATACTCATCTTTTAGATAAATAAAGTAGCTGAATTGGCTTTACTTTTTCTTAGACTTTAAACTGGCATATTTTAAATAGCAATGATACATTTTAAAATTTTGTTTAACATTTTAAAAGATTTTGTTTGTTTAGATTCCACATATGAATGAAATCACATGGTATTTGTCTTTTTTCCTATTGCCAGTGATTCTGAGTCCGCAATCCCTCCTCCATCTTAATGTGTCCTCCATCTACTCCACACCACAGACCCTCCTGGGTCATTTCTGCTTGTAAGGCCACTGTTCTATGTCTCAATTCCCCTATTGTCTCCCATCAGTCTCTCTAACTTCAGCTTCTTTGACCGGCACAATCTGGTGCTGGTCTGTCATACATCACACACTTACCCTTCAAAATATTTTTGGCAAGAGTATTCAACAAAGCAGTGTAAGAGTTGTTTATTCATCTGTACATCCATTCACTCAGTCATTTATTCATTTAACACATATTCGTAAAATTGGTATATAACATTAGTTTCAGGTGTACTACATTATAATCTGACATCCAGTCCCTACAAAGTGATCACCACCAAAAGTCTAGTTTCCATCTTTATACCATACAATTGACCCTCTTTACCCATGTCATGAACCACCCCATTCTCCCCAGGTAGCCAGCAATCTGTTCTCTGCATCTATGATTTTTTGTTATTTTTTGTTTTGCTGTTTGGTTGTTTAGATTCCACATATAAATGAAATCGTATTGTATTTGTCTTTCTCTAGGTTATTTCATTTGGCATAACACCCTCAAGATCTACCCATGCGCTCACAAAGAGCAAGATTTAATTATTTTTTATGGCTACTGAATACACACACATAAACACATATACACACATATGTATATCACATATCACAATTTCTAAATCCATTCATCTGTCTATGGACAGTTGGCTGTTTCCGTATCTTGTCTATTCTGAATAATATTGCAATGAATATAGGGGTGCGTGTATGCAGAAGTGTGTATGGCTCGATTATATGATAGTTCTATCCTTAATTTTTTGAGGACTCTCCATAGTGGCTACCCCAATAGACATTCCCACCAACCGTGTATGAGGGTTCCCTTTTCTCTACATCCTCTCCAAAAACACCTTCTTTGAGTTCTATATTGTGCCAGGTACTGGGAATACAACAATTAAGATACATGTCAGGGGCATGTAAATAAATAGGAATGATCCAGAAAGTATAAAACTTCATAGTACTTATTCATGATAAATCTAGGGTACTGTGGAAGCACATAGGAGGGGTACAGTGACTATTATAGGCCAATCACAGAGTACATGTCATTTGAATAATGAATGGATGAGTGAGTGAGTAAATGAATGAATGAGTGAAGATAATTGGAGTGAGGGCACAGAACCCTCAAGGCATGTAGTCATCACTGAATGGAAGGATGCTTCTCCAATTTCATTATTTTGAGTGAAATGAAATGTGACTGCCAGCGTGCCAGCAATGCCACGGTCAGCATGCCCCCTCTACCTGGCTCAAGGCTTCAATAAAATAACTCCGATGGGCAAAATCACACCCTTCTGAATCTCTTTTCAGCATTTTCATTATTGATGAAACAAAATATGTGCTTGTCTTCAAGTTAGCTCACTGTACAGCCAGACTGAGTTGCTTAACTTTGCTCGTGGCTTTACATAATGGTATCAGATCATGACTGGGATCATGGCAAAGCAGGAATTGTTTTTCCAGCTGAACTTCATGCCGTAGTTTCAGCACATCTCTTTGACCCCTTACATGGTTTCCATGCCAGATATTTGCTAGTTGGCACTGCTGATTCTACACAGGGCACAGCAGGGTTTATCAGAGGAGCATTTACTCTTCTTGATAACTCCCTAGTACAGTAAACATCTGCTGTGGAACTGGAAAGAGCTGGTCCAAACCAGTTCTTAGTTTCACTGATCATTCTTCACTTTTTATAAACAATTACCTTTTTCTTAATTTCTTCCTACTGAATCAAAGCCTGTGGTAATTTTTTCTTTAAAAATAACCCTCATTTTAGTAGGCTAATATATTTAAAGCAAATTATAAATAAGAATTTCACATTTTAGTATGCATTTTAAAAAGTTGGAGTTAAAACTACATGGTTCAAAATACATTTCCCCAATGTTTTTATTATTATCTGAAGTTTGATCCAATCACTATTTAATTGTGGGGTCTTCTGATGTAGGAAAACTTTCTCTTAAAGGCTTTCCTTTATGGGATACCTGCTTGACTCTTGGAAGTTTTATCACCTTCCATCTCATTGGCATTCTATTCCTGGCATACACTCACTATACCCAAAGTGAAACTGGCATGTTTAACAGGTCTAGGATGACTTTTCTAATTAATAATGCCCAGATAAGAAGTTATCAGAGCAAAGCAGCACATAATAAAGTTATTAAATTCTCTTCTTGAACACAGTTTTCGTTGGCCACATGCTACCTGATTGCTCAGGTCAGTCTTCATGTCATGTCTCATTTTCTCTTATTCTCAGTCTGCTTACCTTCTTCAAATCATTTTCATTATTAATTTCCTTATTCATATGTTTTAATTCATGTCACGCCAATGATTAACAAATTCTAGAGAATATATTTTAATTATTTTTTGGCATATATCGAAATTGTCAATCTGAAAAAACAGATGAATGACTTGACTCTTTCTAAAAATCTAAATGAATTGCTCTTAGCTGACATAGACTGCAAATGATTTTCTATTTTTGTGGGCCAAGGGACCTAGATTTTAAAGCATGTCCTTATCATCTACTATACATAATTCATGTTTACTTGTTATACTACTTCTAAACTATAGGGTATGACACTAGATGAAGGTTTTAGTTTGTACTACTGCAGACACAAGGAAGGAATTTAGAGTGAAAAAGGGCACCCCCTCCCAGTGTAACCCCTTAGCTCTTGCTCTTTGCTCTGTCACATAACCTTTATCTACTAAGCAAGCTATTATTGTGTGAGCATCCACTCTCACAGTGAGAGAGAAAGAAAAGCAAAAGCCTGGGACATAAATAATAAATGTTTGTTGTTATTATTTCAAAGAATATCCATGAAATTGTAAATAATCAAACACTATAAAAGGTAAATGATCTTTACTTCTAGTAATTGTCACAAATTGATACATTATTTTGAAAAACAGAGAGAAATCATAGAAAATAACATAGAGATAAACCAAGAAAATATTAGACCAAGATAGACTTGAACATTAACTTTTAAAAAGGTCTTCTAAAACTGTTTGTTTTTACTTATTTTAAAGAATAGGTATTTCATTGAGCACCTATTATTATGCCTAGCACAATGATAAATACTATAAGGAAAAATATAAGATGTTATCTCATTGTCCTTGCTCCTAAATAGTTTACAATCTAGTTATTCATGATTATAAAAACATTAAAAATTCTGGAGCCTCACACCTTTAAGTATATCATCTTGGAAAGTAATCACTTTGGAAAGTTATACACTTACTTCAAAATCCTTCCATTTTTCAAAACAGTTTTTGCTTCTTTTCTTTTGGAAACGCCTTTGGAGTCATTCTACAGATCATTTCAGAAAAGCAGACTCAGTGTGCTAGTTCAGAATGCCACTCCACCTTTCTCAAGTTCCTAGCTTAGTTACCTGAATTAATCACTAGGATGTTGCTCAGTGACTTCTGGTTATTTTTTAGTCTTTAATTCATCCCAAGACAAGTTTTGCTATTCTTGACAACGTGGAAAACAATGTAGTGCAGTATACTGGACAGGAAATACTGAGAACAAGGAGACTCTCTCATTGTCATTGCATCCCCTGCAGCATCCCTCGGTGCATAACCACAGCAGGGGTGCAATGCTCATGCATGGTATTCAACTGAAGGGGCTGCAGCACATTAGTGGCGGAATCATCGGGGTGGAGTTAGGGTAAAGGCGAGGAAGGGGTCCAGATGGGCCTTGAGGGGGATTTTTTTCTGTTCTGTTATTTCTTAGGCGTCTGGCTTTGACCAGGAAGAACAGAAAGGTCTGCCTGAAGCCGGTAACAGATTCTCCCAATACTCTCTTCTAGCCCTGTGTTTTAAAAATACACAGTTAATTAATTTAAACATTTGTATATAACGTATATACCAAATACACATAAGTTAGGTGGATGGTCACACTAAAGTAGAACTTCAGTTTCAACACACAGACAGAATAACTGTTCATATTCATTCATGCCAGGGTTTTTTTCTCAAATTTCTATCCTTAGTAATAACCATTAGGTTTCTTACCACCTGTCAGAAAAATACAATGGGTTTGAGTTTTATAGACTTAAACTCATTCTGAAATTTCTAGCAGGGTTCTTTTTGTTCTACTCAATATTTTATTGTAATGACAAGTATATGAAGATGGTTTTTTAATGTAATGAGACAAAGTATAATTCTTCAAAAAGTAACTAAAAAAAAATATAAATAGCTTTGTCAGTATTTGTTCCTTGTTTTTAGACAAAGAAAGGAGAGTACAAAGATTCCTGGTTACAGACCTTTGTGTTAAATATATTTTTACAGTTTTTCCCCTTTTATTTATGAAACAATGAATAAATCAATGTGTTAGAATGATAAAAATGTCAGAAATCTGGGTACATACAGATTTCTGTGTAATCACAACTGTCTGCAAACATCAGTATGTTTGGGAGTTCAGGGTTCAAAGAATGTCTGACTTTAGAGAATAATGTTTTATCTTTAGTGGCTAATGCATTTTAAGATTTCCTAGACAGTAATAATTAAAATAAGTTATTTCTTGAGTTTTTAAATCATCATCAAAGTATGCTTTCCTCCCTCTTTAATTACATTTAGTACTTTTTTCTATGTATAATATATATAAAAACTATCTTCTCTAATAAATATCCATATGTCCCAGAAGAAACATTTGACTAAATGATTTCTTGTCTATTTTTACAATCTGAATAAATATACATTAGGGAAGTTGTTCCAGTTAAAAAATGAAGATTGTTCTAAATCCCAATGAAATGAATAAAGAGTACAAAATGGGTTATATATATACTAGCACTGTATAAAAAAGAGGAGACAGCAGAGATGTGACTAGTTTTTGGAAGATGGAAAAGGAACGACATTGTTTTGGAGATAGAGTCAGAGAGGCAAACAGAACATTCTAGCCCCCCCGCCAAATGTCTTCAGTTATGAAGTAGACTGATTATAAAAATAGCATAATTAAGAAATAATACATTAGAGAAGGCAAAGACCTGTTATTCTTCTTTCAATAATGAAAAAGAAAGTTAATTAGAAATCTCTAGAAAACCAAATGTTGTACAAAGAAATTCACAGTACAAGTATGAAGTAAATTAAAATGTAATACAGATTTGAACAATGGGTGAAATGCAAGAGAAGAAAATCAATTTGACTTTAATGTTTGGAGTATTCTCCTACAAGTGGATCGAGCTGTATAAAATAGGATTGTATCTCTTTCTCCATAGCTCCATGTTTACCACTTGGTTCTGCAGTGAATAATGTTTAGAAAATGATTACCAGGGTACAGAATACTAGATTAGAAAAAATTTTTTTGAACCTAGTAATTCTACTTACAGGAAAGTTTCCTGCACAAAAAGTAGCAAATATGTATTAAAATATATGCATAAGGATAATCAGTGAAGTATTGTTTCTAACAGAAAAAAAAAGTTGGAACAATCTAAATGTTATCATGCATTACTCTGACATTCTTTAATTGTTTGGAAAAATTGCTCAAGTTTTGGAAATGAGCAAAAGAAAGTATTAAGTGCTCTTTCACTGGAGTGGAGATGTCTAGTGGACCATGGATTATCTAGATTAGAAAGTTTATTGGAGACACCTAGGTATGATAGATATCAGGTGTTAAAGCAAGACAGATGCTCTGCAGAAGTTGCAAAGTAGGTGGCCAAGGGCCAGTTAGATGACTTGCCTGACTGCACTGGACAATCTGGATCACAGAGACCCACAGGCCACCTACTTTGCTTGCGAGTGAAAAGGGTGTGGTTAAATTGGATCAGACCACCGTCTCAGAGTTTTTCTGCATAAAGGAAAGGTAAAAGGGCCTTTAGCCAGTTTTGAGTCTAATAAGAGACAGAGCGAGCCAGACTGGAGGTATTTAAAATTAAGCCCATGAGAATCACCAGGAAGGACAATGGGACCCCCTCCAATAAGGTATATCTAGAGTGACCTTCTGAAAAAGTCAGGACCTGAGGGGACACAGCAGTCAGAGAAAAACGCAATGCCTCTGGTATGAGAATGACAGGCCAAGGTTCCCAGAGGAACCATGACTGTGCTCTGGAAGGTCTGCCAGGCCCAGAGAATGTGGTCTTTCTACTGAGGTGCCAGTCAGGCAATGCCAGCTTACTCCTCGTTCCCCACTTTTTCCTCTGCCTTTGAATCTGAAGCAGTCAGAAACCATGGTTAGCAATTGGGAAGAGAGGGTTGGAAGCATAAGACAGAGAAAGAGAAGAATCACACCGACCTTCCCTGGTTTCCAGCCCATCGAAGTCTTCTGGAAAAACAGGGAAGTTTAAGTTTGAAAATGTTCCAAGTTTTGATTTTACATGGAACCGAACACTTAAATACTGGCTTGACACTGTGGTGGCTAAGTGAAGTGATTGCGGGGCCTTCTGCTGCCTAACACTAACTACCCAAATCCCGGGGCATGTCAGTATTTTCTAACAGGGACAGAGGAAAGAAGTCACCCATTGAGCAGGTTTAAAGAGACAGAGGGATTCAAAAATAAAATTGTGTTCTGATTTGTATTTTTGAGTCCTGCTTGTTTAACATGACAATTATAATAATATAGTAAATGTTATTTACTAGCTTTACATTTTTATAATAAACCTACAGGCTAATCTTGGAAGACTTAACTATAATTACAAAGCAGAACAAAATTACTATGAGCTTTAATGACATAAAAGTAAAGGTATAATTTAAAGAAGTCAAGAAGTAGGTGAGGAAGGAAAAATAGAGGGAGGCAGACAGAGTCAATTCTTATTTTACAAAGAGTGGAATCAACATGGATTAAGAAATAAGTGGTTAAATATGAAACTCAAACTTATAAAGACAACTAACAGAAGAAATAAAAATGTACTGAGTCAAATTGGGGGAAGGTGAGCAGAGAAAAGGGGAAGAGTATGGGATTTAAATTCCTCAGCTTTCATAAAGGGTAATTACCCCTTAAAATTGATAAAACAATGTACAAGACTTCAAAACACAAATGGCAAACAGGTTCTCTCTGGGAATGGTGTCGGGCAGGGAGCAACTTTTACTTTTCATTTTATACAGCTCTATAGTTTCTGAATTTTTTATTTTCATGCACATGCATATATTTATAATGATAAATAAAATGAGATTTGAGAAAAATAGTGTTATTAATTTTAAAATTCCTACCTGGCTCTAATCCATGGTTTGGTGTGCATGTTGAGACCACTTCCCCAGCTGCCGTGTTTTTCTGAAGCCGGCGGCAAAAAGCCCCTTTCTGGGGCCAGCTTCTCTGCGATCGCCCTGATGTGGTAGGGCTCGAATCCACAGCACCCACCTATGTACCTGACCCCCAGGTTGTAGGCTTCTCTGGCATATTTTTGAATATCCCACCTGGTTGCAACTCTGGGCTCCAGTCCTGCAATATTATAGTTGTGGCATTTCTGTTACCATCCCCATTTCCAGATGATAGATGCTCTGATAAGCTTTTTTCCTTCTATTAAAAAACCGCAAATTTTAGATTGTGCATTCTTCAGATGGCTCATTTTTGGTTAACATGTAATTTTATTTATTTTGTTGTTGTTGTTGCTTTATGCAGTCTCGAACTGTACCAGAGTTGTTCATTATAGCTGTTTCTATTTTGTCACAACCAGAAACAACAAGGACCTCTAATACATGCCTGAGCTTACCAAAGGGGTATTCCGGGAGATCCACAAACCCTCCCTTGCCGCAGTCAGGTGTGTGGAAGCCCAGGGGCTGCACCATCAGGTGCGCTTTCAGCCCCGCAGCCTGGAGGCCTTCCTTCATGAGCTTCAAGGTCTTCAAGCTGATCTCGGGCCCAAATCGGCAGTTCACACCAACAATCGAAGCCCCTATGTGAAGACAGAAAGAACTTTTACATTTTATTTTTTTACTTGTTTATTTTATTTGTGAATAGTTAGAAGGCACCTTAGAAGTCAGTTATTCCCCTCTACCTCCCAAGTTTTATAGGTGAGGAAACAAATCCCAGTTCATTCTTTTATTTCTGACTTTTTGACAATATTAAGCAACTTTTGCTAAATTTCATAAACAGCTGAGCTGCTTATCATACTATGAGTCCAAATTACCTGCTTTCACCAGCTTAACAGCACATTCTCCAGGTGTCAAATTATGCTTGTCTCCCTCTGGGCCTATGCACATAGTAGCTGCCACAGGTTTACCAGATTCTTTTAAGACTTCCACAGCCTACACAGCTTCTTCAGCATGCTCAAAATACTAAGAGAAATTTCATTTCTTTCTATTGATCCAAATATAAAGCAGATTTTGAATGGCAGAATACAAATGTGGCAAAACAGTTATAAAAATCACTGACTATATAATATGTAATAAAACTTGCCAGGAAATGTGTCTCTGTCAGACTGACTAAAGAATACCTTTCTGAGTAAATATTTTAATTCCTACTCAGAGTGGGGAAAATAGGCTTACAGTTGTTCATGTGGAAAATAATGCAATAATTAATAAATAATCATACAATAATAAACTATTTCATGTACTCACAACTGTAAACCTACTTTTGCCACACCCTGTATGCAGATTTTCATTCATATATCATCTAAAAAACACAAAGGTTTTTTAAGTAATTGAGCATTTAAAATCATAATTTTAAAGGAGCAAAAGTTAATAAATTTGGGACTCATCTTTTATGGAGCTGAGGTATTGAATAGTTTGTTATGCTTTATATTATTTCCAAGTGCTTTTATATTCACTTCAAGTTAGATATTCATAAGTGTTCTATAAAGTAGAAATGGAAATATTATTTCCCCAGATGAGAACTTTGAAGAACAGAGCGGAATAGAATAGCTACTGAGTTTCTTTGCAAATGATGGACAGGACACCTTGTCCAGTAAATTTATAACATCTGCAGGGATGCCTCTCAGGAACCCCTTGAAGGGCCACAATTGAAAAGCTCATCTTCTGTGAAGAAAAGCTAGTGGAAAGCTCCCTGCTTCTTCCTCCTGGACTTGGAGACAGATTCTACAGAAACAGTGTGTCAAGAATGACAGGGAGGGTCAAAGAAAGGCTCTTAAAACACAGACTGGTGTTCCCGTCATCTGGGCAACATATGGGCGGAGCCTGTGCTCTGCTCTGCTAGTAACGGTTCCCATCTGGGTCAGCTGGAGGTGGCCCTGAGCCTCGGGAAGGTTGAAGAAGCAAGGTTTTCAACAGGTTCAATAAAGTGACTGGGAAAATAGCCGTTGGTAGGCTATTGTCCTTGTTGAGGTGAAGACTTGAGTTGAGGACTTGACTAGCAATTGGAAAGGAAAATGGTGAATGAGAGCTTTTAATTTTTGGAGGTGGAGGAAGAGAATGTTTAGGGCTTTCATGTTCAGTCAATGACCAATTCTTACTGTTTCTTTCTTCAAAATATTGCTCACATGTCAGAGTTCGAGTACAAACAGAGAGGCAAGAGTGAGAAAGGGTGGAGGAGGACAAAGGGATTACTTGGTACTGAGGATTATTGGTGGGGCCTGGAGGAGCCTGAGCAGCTAGCCACCTGCCCCCACGGCCTTGCTCCCTCATGGCCTCTAGCCCATACATGCAGCTCCTTCGAGTCCTGTCCCTCCCTTGGGGGAGGATAGTCCCTGAATCGCTGTCCTCCCTCTTGACCCCACATTGTAGTGCCCCGAGAGTCAGCTGCTACAACCATCCTGACCTTAGGAAACCCAAGGCTGCAGTTAGGCCCTTCTTGGGTCTGTCCTTTGGCTCCACAGAGAAGCTTGCATACAAGGGTGAGCATGTTGACTGTAGTGCATTTAAATAAACCTTTGACCATCTGCGTGGAGGAAATGAGGTTATAAGGCAACCCAATACCCTCAGGAAAGTTGAAGACTATTCATTTATACTTGTCACTAGGTTTAACACTCTCCCTATAACACTAGGCTTACCTCTGCAATCAAGAAGTCCACATTTTTCCTGGCAAAAACTTTTAACTGTAGTTGAAAAAGTTTTTTAACTCTTGCTTCATCCTTGCGGTGTTTATATATTGATGTCTGGCAGATCCCCCCTGCTACCAAGGCATCGCCTTTGCCAGCCACTTCTCTGGCAAGGTCACAGGCAGCAGCATTGACATCCTCCCACTGAGATTAAAGAGCAAGAATTAAAATAATGAGCTTGGCAACTTAAAGGTGAAATATAATCAATAACAAAGGGGAAAATGAGCAAGGAAAATGAGTAGATGTTGCTGGTTTTAACTGCAATTCAAGAAGACCAGCAGAGCTGTGTACCATCTCTTCTACTGCAATGTACTTGTGTTTCCATTATCGTACTGACCATGTTGAATGTTAGCATACTTGTTTACCTCCCACACTTGACCTTGAGCCACTTCAAAATAGTGTTTATACCTTTGTATGATCTTTGTATCTAGCATTAGGGAATGTACTATAACAGACAGTCAATAATTGTTGGTTAGTTGGGCATTAACATTTATAAGTGTTAACACTTGACATTTGCAGAATAGCTCACAATACTTCCACATCCTTCACCATACCCCCCTTTCTCAACAACCCTCGGTAGGTAAGCACAAGTTATCTCCACTTTGCAGAGAAAACCAATGCTCCATGCAGTTAAGTGTCTTGCACAAAGTCACATAGCCAATAGGTGGCAAAGTTAGGTATCTGACCCAATCCTTCTCATTCCTAGGCCAGGGCTGTGTTACCTGGGACCACGCTGGCTCCAAATGGACAAGTCAGAAAAGATTAATGTGAAATGGGAAGGTAAAAAGAACATCTATAAACTGTTCTTTCTCTATAAAAAAAACAGCACAGAAAAATGGCCATGCCCTTCCAATGTCCTATTCTCCCCAGTCTTATGTCCTCCCTTTCCCTGGATAAAGAGACCAAAAGCTCATTTATATAGTGTATATACATCTACATAATAATAAATTACTTAGATATTTTATGTGGAGCTTGTAATAAAGGGTAGTAACATATCAGGTGAATTCCATAGCTTTCCATTGAGAGGTTATTTTTATTATATTACATGATCCCTGCCCACCTACCCCTCACTCTGTCCCCCAACCAACTGGCATTACTATTTACCTTGATTTCCATATTTTCTTCACTGGCAGAAAAGGTGAACGTCTGCATGACATTGGATCCCGCTCTCAAGAATTCCATGTGAAGCTGACGAACTAGAGAGTAGTTGTTTTTTTCATTGAAATTAAAATATTAAAAATGACAGAAGCTGCCATTTTCAGCGGCAGCAGCTCACCCACACACATCTCTTTCAGGCATACGTAATTTCAAACCTAGTGCTTACTTAAAAAATTGCAAGTTGGGGTTTGTAAAATTCAAGAACAGGAAATGACAGAGTCAGTACCAAATGAGGGCTGTTTAGAGTTCCCTCATACTGTCCTGTTGATGGGCCTCACAGCTCAGTGAAGTCTGATGCAGAGGTTAAAGGCTGATTGGCCAAGTGCTCCTGGTTTCTTGGTCTAGGAGGTCCTTCTCAATTTCCCATGTCATGAAGAATCTCGCTGGTCTACCTATAGTTGGCACTGGACAGCCCTCAAAGTAGAATGAGGAAAACTGTTTCTTTCTTCGCCCCTCCCCCTTTGGCAACAGAACCTGGCTGTCTATCATCTACAATTTGTTAGCTGGTGGATATCATCAATCATCCTTACCAGACACCCTGTTATAATATAATATGCTAATTAGCTAGAAGGATGAATCTGAAGCAGTAACCGTTTTTCTATGCTAAGGAAACTCTTGAACATCCATAGGGTAAATATTCATGAAAGAAATATTAAGATGTATGTTTTAGCACTGCTCTTATATGAAGATGCAAATGTGTGTGCGGTGGGAGGAGGAGAGAGAGGGCAACGATTTTCTTCTATTTGTTCAACCCACGTACTGCCACTGTCTCCATAGCTCGGCAATTTTGACAAGTGAAACAGTCCTTAGAAAACATGTGCTACTACTTTTTTGTCTTCTCTCAATCAGGTGTACTAAAAATGCCACCCAGATAAACACTCTCCGGGATGCTGGTGCCAACCTGCGTTGGGATGCTCTAGCACGGCTTCTGGAGTCCAGAGGCCGGCCTTCACATAGCCCCTCTTCTCCAGAGTTATGAGAAAACTGCCGTCTCCAATCACAACCTCCCCGGCGTCCAGACGTTCTAAAATACCCTGAAAAAAAGAGAGAGAAATCACCAAAGGACCCTCCTTTTTTCCCCTAAAAAGCATTTTCCAATTTTTGGAAAAGCAGTATGTTGTTCTTACAGCTCCTGTTCTGTTAAAATCACCAGTATATAATAGTATTTCAGAAAGATTGAGTATACTATTATTTCTTGGATAATCCAGGAACTTGTTTTGGCCAGAGTGCTGTGACTATTTTTCCTCATAACATTTAATCTGAGTCAGAATATAGTGAAAGTGGTGATTCCATAATAACTATTTTGGTTCTTCAATGTGTTTGTGGCAGACATTGCTAGTTGTCTAACTAATTTGCCTTTTCTCTCCTCTTCCTTGCTAATGTATTTTGTTTGGTGGAGACAATGTTTTCAACTTAAAAAACAATCTCATGGTCCCTTGCTGCTGGGGATGGTCAATAGACACAATGCTGACCAATGAGGCATCGGGGGAAATCCACTGAAGATTTCTGGAAAAGTTTTGCATTCCTGAAACAGAGGCTGACTGCCTTACATCTTGACACTCGTTTCTTTCCTGACTGGAATGTCACCAAAGGCCCTGGAGCTATAGCAGTCATCTTGCAGCCGTGCCATTGAAACCCACATGCTAAAGCTACTGGGAGAGAACGGCGCCTTAATGACATCACTGAGTAGCTCCAGCAACCATAAGTCCATGGTTGACTACACCTCTGATTAGGTGAGAAAAATAAACCTCTCTTTTTGTGTAAATCACTGAACATAATCCTAATGAAAATGACATTTGATATTTATGCCCTATATTTTCCAGCATGTTCATATACACGTTATCATTTCGTACTACCAACAACTCTGGGAGCTAGGCAGGGCATTTTACAAGTAAGGAAACTGAGGTTCAGAGAGTTCACGTGACTTGCCCAAGATCACAGAGCTAGGTAAGTAACAAGGCAGACTTCAGCTCTTCTAAATTCCTAGTCTTTCTCTATTTTACCATCTATAGTCAGACCACTCATAACTTGAATAAAAGTTTGTATCCAGAGCAGTTATCCAAGGGCTATAGTTTCCACTGTCTAAAATGTGCCTCCCTCAGATGCCTGCGTGGCTCACCGCCTTCAGGTCTTTGGTCAAGTGTCATCTTTTCAAAGACCCTTCCCTGACTCCCCTGTGACAAACTGCAAACACCTCCATGGTGCCTATCCCTCTTGTATACTGCATTGGTTAAAGATACAACATTTTAGTGAAAATGCAAGGACAGTTCATGTCAGCCCTGCCTACAACTGGACATGGAGCATGCCTAAGCGGGGGGAAAAGCCTCGAGCAGCCCCTTTTAATCAGTCATACATACAGCCCAGGAAGGGACACTGGGAAGGGTTGCACTGGAGGCTAAGTTCCAGGCTGTCGTAGCCATACTCCCCCCATTTTCCTGTGGAGGGAAGTAGAATGGAGCCGTGCTGTGTTAACCATAAACGCTGTTTGACAGAGAGCTCCTGACTCTGGTTATTTCTCCATATTTCATATCTAAAGAAGAATTTTAGCAGAATGTGGAAGAAATGTTAATATTTACCATTATTCTCACCTATCTCTCCACTCACTTTATAAAATATAATTTGCTCTTTTTGTTTTGTGCTCTTGAAACATAAATAAAGCCTTAAGCTTTAAACTTTCAGTGAGACCTTCCCACATGCCAGGTACAGTTCTAGGCAAGAGGGAGTAGGACAACGTCCGTGCCCTTAAGAAGCTCGAAGTCCGGCTACCTTGGGGAAGGCCAGTGGGTCAAGAAATCATCCCAAACAATGTAATAAATGAATGCTGCAGAGGGATATAGAAGAGAGGACAAGAGGTAGTCTCCTGTATAAAATCTCATCCTGAAAAAACTCACACACTTCAATTAACTATGTTAAGAATCAAATTTAATAATATACATCAAACAATGTTAGAGAGAAAAAACTAGGACATACAATTTAGGTGTTACAAAGTTAGTGTCTCACATCCCACATCCAAACCAATTGTGTCTATTTAAACTTCTAATATATGTCCCCCCATCCTCACTGCCCTTGATTATTGAAACGATCTCCAGTTCCCTATCATATTTTCCACCGCTGCCAGTGCAAAGCCTTGCCCGACTTCCTCTTCTTTGCGCTTACCTCCTCCTTTGTGCCCTGCTTCGGTCCAAACACCCTCCATGTCTGTATCCATCACCTGTACTGCAGTGTCTGCTTACTTACCTGTCTCCTCTGTTTGGCTGTAAGATATTTGAGGCTCAGGTGACATATCTTGTAACATATCCCTACCACCTTCTACACCACCTAACATAGAGTAAGTCCTTAACTACCTAAACTATGCAGTTTGAAGACAGACAAGACTGTTTTGAAAATGTCACATGTCTCACATAGGCTACAAGTTTGGTCCTGAGGAGAAAAACAAATGATACTCTTTAACAGAAAACTAGTTAGGATTTTTCCAAGAAAATTATAGTACATGGTTTGCCTGTGTCTTCATGATACCAAATAAAGGTAAGACATTTTTATCTGTTCTCTAGACGTTTGTCCAACATTTTAAATTTGCCAGTTTTCTAAGCAGCCATTAACAAAATAACTAAGTTAAGATTTGAATTCAGAGCATCTTTTAACCCCTCCTTCACTGCTGTGCTCACCACCTCAATTGACCACCAGTATGATCTAAAGACAGCTCTGGAATGACAGGACTGTGTAAAATAAAGAACACTGGGGACTAACTTGCAGTGCATTTATATTTTCATTCCACCCTCCCTTAGCTAGGCAGTGAGCCTGCCTGGGTCCTGACAGTGAGCCCTGAGGCGTAGTTATCCCCACTGATATGCAGATATCAGTGTCTGGACTTCTGGACTGAAGATCCGGCTTCAGGGCACCTCTATCCATACACAGAGGAGCCCACCAACTTCACCCATGGCAGGAGGCGGCCGGAGATCCAGCCTGCCTGAAAATGGCCACCGGGACTGCCCTTTCGGTTTAAAGAAGCAATTGCAGGTGTCCTTTGTAGCAATTAAACAAACTCTTCAAATGCACCTGTTAGGTGAGAAGAGCGGTAAGATCAGCTGCTTCCCTCTAACATTTTAATTTTAATTCCCAGGCACTCATTAGCATGGATCAGCATACCATAAACTTGGTGCTGTAAGAGGCTAGGAAGAAATTGAACAGAGGAAGCATATTTTCAATATCTTAAAAAAAGTGAACTGTAAAAGTGAACATAGTATTAGGAAACGTTTAGAGGAAGAAATCAGAACAATGTTTTTTGCTTCTTTATGCTTTTATTATGCTCATTTTCATCAATCCCCGAATTTTACTTTTATAATCAGAATAATGTATTCAAAATGTTTTTAAGTTTTAAAATCCATATTCTTCACCGTATGTAACTTCTACCATTATTGCATCTTTCCTTATGGTGTGTATATAAATGTTTTTATATGTGTAGTTGTGATCAGTTTGTGATACATCTCCTTTTGTCAATTAAAATCGCCAAAGCACTTTGCCTGCTTCCATACTTAGCTCCTTAATGGGCTGCCTAACAACTTACTAAGTGGATGAACCTTACCTTGTTTAGGGAGCCCACTACTGTAGGGCATCTTGATTGTTCCTAACTTTTTCGTACAGATAAGTCAGTGGTGCACATTTTCATGTCCACATCACTCCATTCTTCCCCACCGTCTCTTACGAATTTCGGGGTGCAGGCGGGTTGCTTTGAGGGGCCCTGGGCATGTCCCGCATCCATATTCATGCCCTTCCTCATTTTATTTTGCCACCCTTTCTTCCCACTCCGCGCCCGCGCACACGTGGGGCAGGAATGGGGGAACAAAGCCAACAGCTGGCGACCAGATTGGGAAGGGGCTGCGGGAAAAGCCTGGAGGCAGAGCGGCCACCACGCACCCTCCCCTCCACCTCCAACGTGCGCCTGGCCCTGTCCGCGCCAGGGCTGGTTTCAGCCTGCGGGGACTGGGGCAGCCAGACTGTGGCCCTTCCCAAGCCGGGCGCGGGGAAGGAGCTGTGGGGGCGCTGCGCGGGAACGCTGTGGCTGCTGGCCGGCTGGGGGCGGGGATGTGTGGCTCCGACCCGAAGGCTCCAATCCCCGCCCCACTCTGGACTAGTCGTTTGACTCTCGGGGCCTCAGTTTCTTCCACCGTAAAATGGGGACGTTTGTGAAGATGAAGAGACTACTTGAGTAAAGCGCTCTGCGTAGTGCCGACCCGAGTCAGGGCTCCGTAAATGGCAACCAAGTTTGTTATCTCATCCTCACTCCAAGGGACATCGCCACCCTGGCTTCGCGATCCGGTCAGCCGAGGTCCAGAGCCGTCTAGGGGCCTTACCATCACCACAGAGCAGGGCAGGGGGCTCTTACGGGCTTTGAACTCCTGGTGCTGGGAGCCCCGCTGCCGGGAGGGCTGACCAAGTAGCCGCGGACTTTGGGAGCCTTACCTTCTTGGCTCCAGGTCTTCCGGCGGGTGCCATGATGCCTCAGTGTTGTGGGCCCCTGGTGGCAGGGAGCGCGCCTGTCCAGGAGCCCGCCCCTCTCCCGGGGGAGGATCCCCTGCGGCCACTGCCTGCGGGCCGCCCTCCGAGCAGGTGTCCGCTTCCTGGGCTTCGCCATGCTCCGCCCGGGTGTGCAGCGGCTGCGGGGCCTCCCGCTGCGGGGCTTCCCGCTGCCGGGCCGCCCCGGCCGTCCGCGCTCCGTCAGCGGCCTCGAAGGGTGAGTGGGAACCCGGCCCGCTCAAAGGCCGAAGGCCGGTGGCTGCAGCGTAGGAGCGAGGGACTAAGGCAGACTCAGGCGTTAGGGGTGCTTTGGCTTCTGAAAAATGGACATTCGGATTGCTTCTTGATTTGTTCGTTTTCCTTGCACGATCGCACAGAAGTGATACAGTATCAAAGGGTTCCCAGTGCAAAGTCTCTCCAACTCCAATCCCGTTCTTGGGCACCTGTTTATAGTGTCTTTTGTACCAACTCAGAGATGGCCTATGTGTCTGCAAACACAGCTGCGTGTACATAGGTTCTTCTTCAGCTTACTTACACATTACTTTTGACACTATGTCTTGGAGAAGCTCACAATCCAGCTAGGAAGTCAGTCGTGCAAATAAATATCTTAAACCACTGAACAATAATTATTAGAGAAGGATGTACACGGTGAAAGGAAGTTGAGTGAAGAAGAATGTTTTGCTCCATCTGGCTCTCTTTCACCTGGAAAGAGAGTGAAGGGGGATGATCCAAGATTTATGAAACTAAACTTCCTGATGATTATGGTTTCTTGGTGGAATAAAATGATTGCAACTGCGTTCTTTAAATAGACTGAGAAAAATTATTCTCTAGATTCTCTGGGGGGAAAAAAAGTCACCTGTTCAACTCTAGAGCTATATTAGTTATCTATGATGGACCAGAATTCTATGGAATGGGGCTCAAATGCTCCCTCCTTCCTCCCTCAACCAGGTTGCCGAAGTTAGGCTTTAGATGCCTTAATAAAAAACCATAGCTACCACAGTCTAGTAGAGCTTCTCTTTAAAAAAAAAAAAAAAAAAATGTCTTCCAGAAAGGACAGCCCAACCTTATCTGCAGAAACAAGATGGAAAGACAGAGCAGAGACAGTGATCATTGGAGGTGGCTGTGCTGGTGTGAGTCTGGCTTACCACCTAGCTAAAGCGGGGATGAAAGATGTGGTCCTCCTGGAGAAATCGGAGCTCACTGCTGGATCTACCTGGCACGCAGTAAGAAAAGCGCCGCAAAACTGTCATGTACACGGAATTGTGCACTAGTTTAATTGGTTTCCTTCCCATTCACAATGCCCCACTGTTAGCTCTTTAGAGTGAGTTCCCTTTCAACAGTGTTAGACAGTGACGTTCCAGTTTGGTTGGCATACTTCCAGGCAGTGATCAACATTGAGGACGTCTTTATCTTGAACATATGGCTTCTCGATTCACATCCTGGCTCTGCCATTTTCTACCTGTGTAACTTATGGCAAGTTACTTAAGTTTCCATCTCCTCATGTATAAAATGAAAATATTAATAGTACCTACCTGCTAGAGTTGTGATAAAGATTGAGTTACTATGTGCAAAGTTATTAAACACATAGTAGGTGTTTAGTAAATGGTGCCCTTTGTATCGAAGAACAGCAGTTGGGTGACCCTGAGTATGGCCGAGATCTTCACCTATCGTCCCTCCCCTGGTTTTAGTGGTCCTATTTATTTATTTATTTATTTACTTATGATTTTAATTTTGTGTTGTAAGACAATAAATAGCTTGGCTACATGAAGACCTAACTACGAGGACTGAGAACACGTGACATACTTTTGTTAAATAAGACACGCAGCCAAGTCAGCCTCACGTATTTAGTGGAGTATGCATAATTGTTCCACTGCTAAACAATAACTGGCCTAAAACAGAACGCTGCTCAGGTAAATGAGGTGATCGACACTGCTTTCATGCCCTCAGACCAATTATTTCTGAAGTCAGGTAAGGATGGGAGAGAGTTTTTATGACTATTTGTACAGAGTTCTTTTGGAGGAAGAGTTAGGCGATGCCAGTTCAACCTTCTGTCATTAACTTTCCTTTTCATCATTACTTTCTTCTGCTGAGGCAAGAGAAAACTCTACTTTTAGGGCCCTTTTGCCATCCAGGGCCTGCTCAAGGTATGGGGTGGAGGCTGAGCACTAAAAGGGCTGCCTGCCTCTAGCTGAGTATGGAGCAGAGTGGAGCTCAGATTTCAGCCCAGTTGGCCCCAAGTCCTAGCGCCCACAGAGCCAGAACACGTGGTTGGATGGAGGTCCCTAGAAAAATCATAGCAAGCCCATCTCTTCTTCCCTCTCTCCTCCTCCTCCAGCCCCATCACCCCTCAGGCTGGGAGAGAGGCCCAGGCACCTAATCCTCCTGAGTGTCATTTCAGGAGCTTAACAGACACACCTGGCTTTTGTTTCACCAGTCCCCTGTCAGCTTGCTTCCTCCTGTCTGGAGAGCCACCAGCTCCGGGAAGCCACCAGCACTCCTGGCTCTTCATCCGTCCCTGAACTAGACCTTCTGTGTAGGCTTTTTGTTGCCATGAAAAAGAAAGCTTGCATTTCTCCTACAGCTCTCCTGTAACTTCTTCTTGCTGGACATTCAGTCACCCTTTCAACAAATATATGCTAAGAGCCTCTGTTGTGTCAAGCCAGCACTGTTTTAGGTGAGGACACAGCAATGAACAAAACAGAGTCCCTGCCCTCATGAAGCCACATTCTGGTGGGTAGGGCAGACAGAAAATACACAAACAGTGTTTGTGAGTCATCAGTGCCATTAAGAAGGGGAAATCTGGCTAAAGGGATGAAGAATGTTGGAGATGGAAGCACGAGGAAGCTAGTTCAAAGACAAGAGATAAGGCAGAAGGGAGTGAGAGAGGGGCCGTGAGCCTATCCAGGTAAGGGCATTTAGGCAGGTGGAAATTTAGGCAAGTGGAAGTATCCTAAGAGGGAGGCCTTACACCCTTTTTAACACTTTTGGGTTATGAAGGAGGATGAACTCTTTAATATTTTAATTACTTATTTGCTCATTTATACTTGATTGAATTGATGTGGCCTGCATTTTAGAATAGATTACCAAATTCCCTGTGATTTTACGTCTTATACATCCCAAGAACTTTTTTTAAAGCAACATGCCCTTAACCTAAGTTCTTTTAAGAAAAGTAGGCAAAGCTGTTAATATGCCAGTTTCTAGTTTAATGTTAACTGTGCAAAACAATTTCCCTTAAGGAAAGAGATATCAGAGCGAGTGGAAAAGACATTCTACTCATTGGTGAACAAAGTACTATGCAATGCTCTGCAAAATGAGATTCATGCAGTGTGAGCTCAAGATGGAGTCAGGCATCAGAAGCCAGGTTATTTGCCTGTAAGGAACGAAGGAAAAGAAAGAAGGCTCCCCTAGGAAACTGATTCTATGAATATTTGCAAGGCAAGGGGGCCTACCTCTGAGAAGTAACAAGAGAAAAATCCCATGAATTAGGAATTTTTAACATAGAGAAATATGTGTAGCAGATAAGAGAATGTGGAACGTTGGGGAGCCAGCTAAAGGGGCAGAATACAAAAAATAAGGACAGTCTCACCAAAATATAATATGTGCTCAGGGTCACCATATCTAGGAGCATAGGAATCGGTATTTAGGGAGGAAAGGACAGCTTGCAATGTGAGTATTCAGAGTCACAAATCCAAAAATCCTGAGGGTTTGCTATATTTGAATAAGACTGTTTTGTCAGCACCTGGCACTACTGCGGATATGGAGCACTTCTTGTGGGATGAAGGGTAGGAGAGAGGATTGAGTGAGAAGCAGTTTGGGAGCATGGGGTCCCCAGGAGAGGGGGCCCCTGGGGATGGTAAGAAAGTGGATGTTTTGGAGGGCTGACGACTAAAGATGCAACATGACCCATTTTGGGGTGTAGGAAGACTATTAGAACTTTCTGTCTATTTTTATCTTAAAATATGAGGAAGAAATTGAGCTTTGCGAGTCTTTCTAAGTAGCCCTCACCTTTGATGCGGGTGACGTGTTGGATAGGGTTCCCAGGGGCTGAGTAAGGGCGAGGCTGGGGCTCTGCAGTGGGAGCGCCTGCACTTCTCTCATCTCCAGTCCGCACGGCAGAGCACGTGCTGCAGGAACTCACTGCTGATTCATTTTATAGAACCAGGGCTTTAGGTAATATAATGGGTGATGAAAGGGAGAGGGAATGACCTTGAGAGGGATTTGTTGGTTATCTCATTATAATAATTAAAAGAGTTGTGAAACTAAAAGTTTTTCTTTTAAAAAATGACAGTGTCCCAAATTTGGTGACCTTTGTAGTGATGCAAATGGCTGCCAGTCATTCACAGCAGGTACATATTTTAAAAATATGTGCTAAAGGTGATGTTACAATAGGTGAGAAATAACTCTTGCAAAACCATCCTGTTGGGAAGAGAGAATTTGGAAAGTTGGCTTTATTATTATATGTTCTGGCCACAGTGATATGTATCACCTGGAAGAACTTTCCATATATGCAAAAGTTAAGTTTTTTAACCTAAAATTTTTCCAAATGAGGAATTTCAGTGGGATTTGTACCTATTTATTTGAAATGCAAAAATGTAATACCTTCCAATGACCTTGTAACAACAACTGATGGACAGGAGAACATGAGACATGAATAGTCGAACTTCAGCTGCGACCTGCGTGGAGGTGGTGGCTGGGATGGAGGTGCACAGAGCACAGCCAGGGAGTGGCCCCTCCCACTGAGGCCTCAGTGCGGGTGACAGGTAGCTTCTCCAGCTACCGCAGCCATTCGCACCAGCCCCCAAATGAAACAGAGATTCAGGCCTTCAAATTGCTGTTTTTCCAAGGTTAACCCAATATACATCTTTTAGTAATAAATTGCATTAATCACGTAGCCTTTGCCAATATATAAGCTTAATATTCCACAGCTTTTCTAAACAATAAAGTAACTATTTAAAATATTTAATTCATTTCAAGTAGATTTGTATGCTTTATGA